AACGTCATTTTTTATTGTTACAACTGAAAAGTTATTTTATAACAACAACTCCACATTTTGAGGTAGTAACTATCAGTTTTTCAAAATCCACAAGGTAATAAGCCAAAGCATGGAGGTAGGTACACTTGATCCTATGTAAGAATTTCCCGCATGAATGAATAAAAAAATCCGATACTTTTACAGGCTATATTTCATATAAAAATGACCTTAAACTGAAAGATGCACGATTGACTATTTATCAGACAGAACGAACACCGAAGTGTACCCGCGTCAAAATAACAAAACACGTAAACTTTGATGAAACAAAACGCAAGAGAGCCACTTTACAAAATTTAGTAAAAGCTCAGGTCGCTTACTCGGTCGAGCAGAGTGGTGTGTCGGAGAGAGAGGGAGGGGGCGCTGGGCTGGGTCAATCCGTATACATTTACAAGAGCACACATGCATCTTTTAAAATAAGAGAGCCGGTGAAGCAAATGCTAGCGGACAGTGGAAAGACAAAGTACAGGACAGGGTGGAGAGTACAGCAGAAACGACCGGAACCAGGTACGTGTTTATCAATAATCCAGTAGATAATGCGCACACGAGTCGGGGCTCTCTGGGCCGTGGCTGTTTGCTGCTTCGCGCTCGCTCGCTCGCTTCCCCGTGCATCGATGCACGAAAACGTATTTGCTCGCGCACGCCATGGGAATATCTATAGATCGACCCATCCGAATATGCGCCCTCGTTTTTCCTCTCCATGTATCACTTATTGCTTTCGACTATTCCTTTTTTGTCAAGGGTTGCTGCTATTTTACGGACGAATTTTACATAAGGTCTCATATTTATTTATGGTAAATCGTGCACATACATTTTGTACGACATTTTAGCGATTTGGGTGGAATGGAGGTGCAACAAATGTGTGATCACTGAGTTGGTTTTTTTTTTTTTTTTTCATTTTCCTGCACCAATGACAAGTGATTTTTACGGGCATGCTTCCTACCACCTCTATAATGTTTATCCTAACCTAATCTGTGTATCCCCATTTTCTTTGCAAATCCTACCTCCCAAGTATTTTTTGCAGCCCACAGCTCTTCTGACTCTTCTTTCCCAACTAAACTAAACTTTTTTTTCCATCCCAATGAAAATCTTGTAATAAATAGTTACTATTTTGTCTCAAAACCATTTTACATGAATCATAACAATATCATTTGCAAAAATAATACTTAAATGTAGGGCTGATAACAGATGAGGATGACAGAATTACAAAGCTCTCTCTCACGTAAAAAAAATAAATTGGAAATCAATTTCACGGTAGGATTTTTCATACGTGGCCGATGCAATCATTGCATTTTTTCGTCCATTTATCTGCATATAAATAACCTATAAAAGTTTTGGTATCCAGGTTTCATGCGAAATATATCGGGATATTGGAAGCGCAAAATAAAATGACCAATGACAGTTCAATTAAAACATTAAAATGCTTTTCTCGAACTGCGGAATAGTTTGGATTAAAATGTGAAGCAATATATTTCTTGACGAGTTTTTTTATCGCCACAGTTTTGTTCTCATTGAGGAAATTTATTCAGGTGCATGGCCTATTGTAATCGTGTGATGAACTAAACTATTTTCTGGTAGATTCTAATAATATTGGTAAATTTTTAAATGTTTTGTGATTTTTTATTCATTTCGTGTTTACGAGTGTAGTCTTGGCTGTGGCAATAATGTATTGTATTATTTTGTTTGTTTTCATGCAAATATTCCATTTAATACATTTGACATAGTATGCGTACTAATTGTCATACAACTAAAACGTTCCTTTTTCTTCTATTTTAAAATAATAATAATCAAGAAAATTACATAGAGAGATAGCATTTTGTTTGTTCATCTTTGATTTAACTTAACGTAAAATCAAATTCTACGTGATTTTTATTGAAATAAAAAAAAAAAAAGAATCTTTATGTCATCATTTATTTACATTGTAGTGTTAACATTATTGAATATTATCTTTAAAAAACACCACTATAATTGATAGCAGCATAAAATTGGTCAGTTCATAAAATCTAAATTGTGAAATTCTACTTAATATACTTGTAGATTCGCACTAAATACCTTTTTTTCCTTCTTATAACACATTCTACCAGCAAATATTCAGCACTTCTAAAAGTTTTTCGTTTTTGCTTATGTTGGTATAGAAAATCGTCATGACTGACTAAAGTAACTTGCTTCTCCAAATTCAAATGAACATCGTTCTAACTGTACTCCACTATTTTATTACCGCTATGCGGATAATACCGTCATTGTGCATACTTAAGTCACGTAACTACTGCAATTAATATTCTGAACAATTGTAACAATTCCTTGTGGTTTATATATGAGCTACAAAACAATAATAGTATTATTTTTTGACACCATTTTGATACTGAAAAATTCCATATTATTACTAATTAGTTTACAAAAGAAACGTCATTATCTTGTACATTTCATTTTTTCGCATCATCTACTTGCGTATAAAAAAGAATTAAAATTTAGTTAATCGTGATGTTCTCCTTTCTCACAAATGCTTACATAGAATGAATATCCGATTTCATTTATTAACAAACATAAAATGTAGAGTAATTTGACACTTCTCCAAAAAAATTCTATCCAACTTGATTTTCGTCCAACGTCTAATTGTGAAAAACAAGTTTGGTTAGAATAATTTTAAGAAAAACTCGTGCAAAAATCAATTGTTTGGCAATTTTATACTTCTCACGAAGATGTCTTCAGTGTCTTTTTATTTTTATTTTAATCGTAGTTCGTAGATATTTATTTTGTATTAATAATACACAAAATTTTAACAGTGTGGTAATACTATTACTAGAAAAAAAGTAAAAACGATGATATTCACAAACAAAAGCTCAAATTATTCAAAGATGGTTTTTTTAATTTATTAAAATTCTTATGACATAGTTATTATAATCAATTTGAAGTTTTCCTAAATAACATTTTCTAATGAAAATTTCATGTACCTTGTATACAATACATACAAATAATCCAAACAAGATGTAAAGATATGAAATACATTTTTTTAAATGAATTACCATGTAGTGTTTGTACAACCTTTTAAAAAAGTAGTAAATCAACCAAAAGTAATTTAATCAGACAAGAGTACTTCGGGAACATGAGATGTACGATTAAAAAGAAAACAAACAAAAATGAAATATGGAAAAAGTCAAACCGCATGTACCGCAAAAAAGTTTGATATCGATAAAAGTGTAAATAAAAAAATACTCGTACGTCGAAGAAAAAAAAAACGAAAGTAGTGGTAAAGAAAAGAGTTGAAAAAAAAATAGCAAAAGAAAAACAACGAGACTACAAACACACGTATACACCCACCCCAGCCGTGACGTACACACGCAGGAGCGCGGGTGGTGTATCGAAAACTCTATATAAAGTACAAGTACATCCCGAAGTATTTTAAATTCCCGGCTCTCCAGCTCCACAAGGCGCGAAATACTGAGCCTTTCACCAGACTTTTATCAGTAGTTGAACATGCCCTCTCTCCCCTACTACCAGCCCCCCTGCCTCCACCCACCCCTCACTATTTTCCCCGAGTTCAGCGGAAGCGAAAGAATTGTCGTTTGCGCCGTATTTTTTGTGTGTACTACTTCTCCTCACCACCTTTTTCTCTATCAGCCATTGTGATTTCGCACCGGCACCCTCTACGACGCGAATCAATGTCTTTTTCAACCCCACCCCAAGCGTGAGCCGGCACCTCGGGGTTTTCCTTCTTTTTCCGCGCACCATTTTCATTTTAAACCCCTTCATTGCGTCTTATCGCCCGCTAGTAGATGCAGGGACGTGTTAAAATGATAATGTCCCTGCGGATGTACCGAGTCGAAGTTTGGCTATATTGCATTGGGAACGACTTGGAAATTGGGTTCGGGAGAAAGAGAACGTCGTTTCTTTCTCTCAACAAGGACAGAACAATTTCTGCGTGCTCAGGAAAAGTTTGTCCTCCCGCGTGAGTTCCGTGGGCCCTGAGTTGTTTATGCGAGACTCTAGCGCAGTTGTTGGCTATTGATTTCTCACTGGAATCGATGGAAAAAAAATTCTCGACTCGCATTGTAAGTAGGTACAGTTAGCATGAAAACAAAAAAACTGTAGTTTAGATCAAATGTAACGTTGAATCGTGGTAATACATAAGTATTTGTTTTTACACACCTGTGGTTAGAGTTTCAAAGTAGTTAAGTAAATATTTGATTTAGAAACCCTGACCTGTATGACAAGAAACTCTGTAAAACGGCTGCTACTTCAATACGTAAAATTGAACATTATTTGAGGTGTAAAAGTTTTAAAACAGCGTGCGACTTGTGCCATACATATTTTTTCAAAAGACTCGGCCGTGCTCATACTTGTCAGTTTATTGGCCACCAGTGTTTTTCTATTACCCCAAAGTTTACTTTACGAGCGAGGTCCGGCAGCCGGAAGCTCGATGTTGTTAATACGAGGTACAAACAACGATGTACAGGGTGCTCGGGTGTCTCGAGAGCTATCATAACTTCTTATCATCGACACAATAATCCGGCCAAGGTTTCAAATGGCTCGGACAAGGCGCTTCCTTTTCAATAACACGAGGTGTCTGGTGTAGCAGTGGCGGCGGCGAGGCTCCCGGGAGAGCTCGCCGTTTACAACCCCGGAAAGTGATATGATTCACGAAGCGTTAAATCCCATTTCGGTGCTTTCGGGCCAAAAAGACTCGCTCTGCCGCCCCCGACGGAAGCTCGGGTCACACGCTGTACTGCACGGCGGATGGAGAAGAAAATACCACTGGCTGGTCTTAACTGCTCTCTCGTCGTGTCACGGGCCATTCCTTACACTTACATCCCCCGCGCGTATATCTCGTAAAGCCCGATACAACTTGCTTTTTTTCATCCATCTCTTCGGTGGTAGCCGTCTATAGTATGCCTTGGCTCACTGGATAAGCAGTGAGTAAATTAGTTGCTGTGTGCTTAAGATCCCTTTCTTTTTCGCTGTTGCAGAGATTCAGAAGACCCAGGCCAGTGGGAGACCAATCAAGGATTTCAAATATGTCGACATCTACCGCGAGAAGCCGATTAAGGTATCGGTTAAGGTGTTGGTACCCGTCCGTGAGCATCCCAAGGTGAGTACTTGCTGTTTACTACGTCACTGCTTATGTTTACCATAGCACAAACAATTATTTGTATTTTTATGCGTATCAAAAATTTGTTACCAAAAATATCTTGAAGTTAATTTGTTCAATTTATTATTATTCAATGAATTGAGTTTCTACTGCGTGAATATTCATAATTTTTAGGTATGGGGAGATCGATAACAAACTTTTTGGTTGTAAATTTCTAATGTACGCAATTTTACTTCGCAATTTTGCGTTATAGCTGTTTACCTACTGTACCTTACTACGAGGCTGTGAATTTTAAACTCTTTTTCTTGTTTTTCGAACAAAATTTCAATATAACTTTATGAAATAGCTGTGTTGACAGTAAAAATTACTGTTCTATAACCATGACTATTGGAGGTATTCCATCGGATAAAAAATTTAAAAAATAGTAATTTAAAACCACTATTATAAACAGTTAAATAGTCGTTTTTGTAGCTGGTGGCACATGTCACCAGGGCAAGCACCAGGCTCCTTGCGTTTGCCATGGTTGGATGTGCACCAGGGGCTTTATTCTGAAGAAGTCGAGCGTGTACTTACTTCTGAACGTATTTTGGTCATCTGCACGTGTGCCGAAGTCAAATATTGGTTTCTGCACATGTGCAAACAGTAAAAAATGTACCTTCTGACTTTCTCAGTGTAAAGCCCCAGGTGCGAGTTCTATTATTCCTACTGAGAAGTGAGAGTGTAGTCAACGTCCCAAGGTAAAAAAAGCTCAAAGTAGAAAAATTATCATATCTCTTAGAAAAATTCTCATAACGTCATGATACCACCAGTTCACAATATAAGTTGATTTAAGTGTAAAGTAGGCAAAGACTTGCGACGAGCAACACCTGTGTTTTGCGTCATTCTTTCAACGTCATCAACGACTAGAGTACAGTTGTTTTGGTGTTGTTTCTTGGCTATTTCAGTGCTATGTATCAATTTATTTTGTCGAATCGAAACATTGTTAGTGGCTTTTTGTTTTACTGAATTACTTTTACTACTTTTTATTCGAAGATTTCTTGCAGCTTCTTGAATGAGATCTTGATTGTAATTAGCTGCGTACTCGATGATAATATTACTTGAATAAAGTTTCAAACATAATTTTTACACTTTCTATTCAAACAAACCCAACGCTTCTGTTAAAGTGTCAGTCTCTTGTTGATACTTTGCTATACTATCAGGACAGTAATTATTATTTTTTGCTATCAGTGAATGGTCATTTTAATAGACTGTACTGTACCGTACGTTCCTGATAATTTCCTCTTCAAACAGAATAAATAACTTTGATTACTTTCAGAATTTCTCTGACATGTATTGTAATGTAAAATTTCATTGTATTACGAAACGAAACAAAGCCGGGTTGATGTTTTATAAATTTTTTCTAATTCTAAAGTTACTTTTCATCAGTATCATCAGATTTTAATCATAAAAAACGCATTAATTGACGAATAACATAATCAGCCACACTGTAAAATTAAAAATTACATAATGGTACGACAATGTACCTATTAATTTTTTAAGTACACAAATCAACTGTTTTATAAAGAAATTACAACCGAGAGCAAAAGATAAGATATTCAGTATCGGGGTACTTTAATCATGTGGTATGATTTGTCATAAAAATAATAAAATAAATTATAGGTATAGCATATTTATCACAGTCAATATCATATACAAGTGAGGTAGATTTAAGCTGCCATTACTTTAAATCTTGGTAAAATTGCATGATTTCAGTATAGTTAGACCCATCCATGCTAGAATTTATGTCGGATCTTTTAGTACTGGTTCTTAAAGTTATTTTTTGAATTCTGAACAAATCCAAGTCAATGTTTTTCAAATTAACATAACAACACGATTTCAGATACTAAAGATATGTTACCGATGAAAAAAAATTGGAAAGGTGATAATAAAAAGAAATTAAGTTTTAATCGGTTTTTATAAATATTTGTTCCAAAGAAATACGTGACAGCTGTTTCGGTACACTTTAGCTTCTTTAGACGAATAGCGCTGTTATACTACCTTTGGAATAAATGTATATGAAAATCAATTAAAACTAGATTTGTTTTAATTATCACCTTTTCATTATATATTTTCATCAAGTAAACACCAATTCAATTGATTACTTGAAAAAAATTGGATATCATTTTATCTTATACTTACAAAAAGATAAACATTCATGGAAGACACATTTCCGAGGGACGACAAAGCCTCTCCTCACATCAGCATCACTCGTCCTAATCGCAGTTAAAGAGCTCGCGTGAACTAATCCACCGAATCGAGAAAAAAATAAATAGGCGCAATTCGTCCGGTCGAAACGAAACCTATTAACAATCGGGCGTGCGGAACGCCATGACGAAAGACCCAACGTCTTTACCGTCAGCTCTTCGCAAATCCCGCGATTTCTTACGAGCTTATCTCGGCCGAGAGCCACGGCGGGCTCTTCTATTAATTATCCCCGTGGCTTACAGTGACGCTCAACGGGGCTCGAAACGGCCACCCACCCCTCGATTGAAACTTGCTTCCAGCCGCCAATTACGGCCCACGCCAAGGTAAACTTTGGAGCTCGGCAACAAGGACGCCGTGTAGTACCAGACACGCTGCAAGCTCTCGATTCAAAAAAGCCCGAACTCGCTTCGCAGCTCGTGACCCGGTGCACAAAAAAAACACGTACGCGTGGCTTTGCGACTCTGTTTGTGCTGAAGTTCCTGTAGAATCCTCGGTAGAATCGGCTGGTTCCGAAAAAAAACTCGCGATTGTTTCCAACTTATCCGTCGATGGCGCGGATTACAAGCCCTTTTTTTCTATGCGCCGTGTAGTAGTACACCGTATTGGTACCAGGACGTACTTTTGCCCTTCCAGCCTCGTGTTTTCCCCGCATTTGCGTGTGAACGTATGCTCGGGCAAAGTTTTTCCCGAAAAATTTAATCGTCCTGCCCCGCATGCTCCGTTTACTTGCATGCCCGTATTATGCAGGGGGAAAACTCGGGACTTGGCTCTGTTTTTCGTACACTTTGCATAATGTTTGTTCGAGATGTTTGCGCGGCATTATACCGTCGTCTGTTTTCTTTCTTTCGAAAATACAAACGTAATAGTCCGAGACTGTACGGTATGTGTTTGTTTCCCCTGGGTAAACAACAACTTTGCGTTCTTATTAATTTTTCGCAATGACATTCAAGTTTCAGGAAAAAACGAATCACTTTTGCCCCTCACTTTCCTTATCTAGTTCATAATTCTTTTTTTCCATACCGTAACGTTCGACATATCCATTCAATCAACGTCGTTATATTATGTACGAAAGCATATAAAGTTACTTTAAAAAACTGTATCTGTGATGTATAAATTATCCATGCAAGATAAATAACTAATCAAACATTTATTTTTGAAAGATAATGATTTTTGGTTACTCGGAACGGTTAACCGAAGCAAACTGTATAATGTCCGAGATAGATGTGAATTGTCACCCGAACTGAAAATGAGTTCATTTGTTTACAACAACAGAAGTCAAAAGAGGTGCTACCCTTTTATTGACCATGAGTACTAAAAAAAGTTAATTTCCATTTATTGGATTATTTACAAAACTAAACTTAAAACATTTTTCAAATGTTTACTGTTTTGATTTAACAGACTAAGACAATCAACAGTATACTGGACATTTAACCCACAGGTTTAATATTATCTTGCAAATGTTCGTCATTTACGAAATTCAGTAGAGACAGACGTGTAAGGTAAGACAAGGCATCGACAGGTGCAGAAATTAAAATGAACTAACTTGATCTCTATTTATTGTAAGGAATGTAATTTTCATAAGGTATGATTTAAGAATATAATTTCCGCCCTCGGGTGGTTTTGGGAGGCTGGTACTTCCTCGGGCGAAAAAGCAGTTTTCCGGAACTCGTTCGAAAAGTCTTCTTTACAAACCTCGTTACGTCCCTCGCCTTCGGCTCGGGCCGCAAACCTCTCGGTTCGCAAACAGAGACTTTTCAAACTCGTAGGAAAACTACCATTCCCGCTTGTAGATAAATTAAATATTAGATTTCATATCTTGAGAGATATCACAAAAGAATATGGGTGGACTAAGAGTGCTGTAAACAGTACCTCTATCTACTCGCTCCGAGCCGATGCAGAGGCTGCTCCCTTTTGTATTAGATATTTGACCATAGTTCTTACGTGTAAACAAACGGCTTAGAGCATGCATTCATGCACATACACTAAGAGAAACCTAGCGCGTGATCCGTCCTTAAGGTGGCGCGGTTGAGCTGCCGCTTGTTTGGAACGCACGGGACACCAGACTAGCGCGTCAGCTGCACCACTAGACTGGCTTGAGCGTTGAGCTGTTAGGCTAGCGCAAGTACTGCATCATACAGTGTACCATACGTTAAGCATGAGAATAAAATCGTATCTGTATGTATTCGTCGATCAAAATGCGATAAGTTTAAACGCATTATGACTCAGAAAGCCACTAGAGTAGAACTTAATATTAAGAACAAATTTTATTATATATAATGACATATAGTAAATCTAATGCAAAAATTCGGACGCATGCACTTAAATAAATATGCAAAAAAATGAGTTAATGAAAAATAGCACTTCGCAGAAAAACTTTCATTAATTAAAGACGGTTATGTTTTTAATTTTAATTTTTACTTTAATAATTGATTCGATCACAAATAAAATGCATTAAAATTTCTAATTCTAATGACTTAATGTTATTACTTATTAATTATTACAAATATTTATTTACAGTACGTCTTAAAATATAGCTAATACACAGTTTTAATTTAAAATTTACAATTTGTACCGCGTTATAATAAAATGTTTACCATTTTTTTTTTTACTGAGGTAGCTGAGGGCATAAACGGAACATCACTTTGACGAATCGTTCTGTCGTTTGGACGGTGACGCTCAACTTGATATGCATTAACGCTTGCATCAAATATAATTTCGACATAAGATTCAAAGTAAAACTCAACACATTCTTCGAT